TCACTACTTTTGGTCTATCCTTCAGCTTACTTATTTAACGTGTTTTCACACGCTTTTTGATAAATTACTCTGTGAAGAATAGTTAAAAACCTACCGATTTAACGAAAAAAAATGCGTTCAAGTGTCAAAACGTATCTAAACGCATTAATTTTTCGCACTTTTAACGTGTTTTTAAGGTCAAAACTGTAACATATTTAATCGTGAAATCGTGAAACTTTTGAACAAATTTTCACGTCACAAGATTTCGCTAAATTGGCAAAACTTTTTACATGGATAGTGTTTTATATTTATTTCTTTTTTGTTGAACAATCTCGAATGAAATGATGTTGATAGTTTTACAGCAAAAAAGACCTTTATGGGTGGAGCCAGAATTATGCCAGATTTGACATTTTTGAACGTTTTCTCTATACGATATGGAAATCATTAAGATAAAAAATGATCTACATAGATGAAGTTTTGTACAGATCCTGTTTTTGACGCAAGTGAATGACATTTCTTGCACAAAAATTAATTCTAGGAACAATGTAAAATCGTTTATCATTTAAGGTTGTAAGTCTATAATTACTTCTTTTTGATACTTTTATTTAAAAAATACATAATTCATGATTACAAAAAAGTTTCACACTAGGAGATATAGTTAGATCTGTGACGGCACACAGTTTTATGAATCAACACTTTTTCGAGAAATGAGTCTGATTATCAGTTCTTTTCATTAACTGTTTCAGTTTCCGAAAGAGAACTGATTCATAAAACTGGAAGCTATTGCATGTCAAAAACTGATCTGTTTGAATAATTCTGTTCTTTTGAAAAGAACTGAATAATCAAAGTTAGTTCAATTTCTTGATCGCGAATTGTCACAGGTCTAGATATACTCAATTAATTAATTCATTTATTTGCTTCGACAGATATATCATTAATTTTAACACAACCTTTTCCTTGTGAACTAGTTTCTATATCGATTTGTGCTTGGTATTTTCCAACAAGTATCTCGGGTATAGAACCAACTTTCATTGAAAAATTCAATGTATGTAGTCCCTATAAAAAAAATGTAATTATTAATTGTGCAATGTTATATGCCTACTTACTTCTTCTATTGGACAATTATATTGTTTAAAAGAAGTACAAAGATCATCATATGTGCATGAAAGAATATCACCGCAAGGAATTGGAACATAAATTATAAAAAAATATTTGCTCACTGACATTGTTGCCTAAACACGTTAATATAAATTTGAACTATAATCATTTCTTACTTAATGAATTGTTTTTAATATACAAACTTTTAACGGACTTGCTAACTTTTGATTAGTATAGATAGTAATTGTTATAGAAACCAATTCAGAACCCACAATTGGATCTGGACTTATTGCAAGATTTAGCAGTTTGATATCATTTGATTCGCTTCCACAATTTTCCCATGATACTGGAGTAACTACGACTGTCTAAACATGAAGTTTTGTTTTCGATTATGATTTTAATTTTTTTGTACTTTACCAATTGAAGAAATAGGAAGGATAAAAATAAACTCAAATTAACAAAAGCCATAGTGTATATAACTTTGAATAGAGCAAATGTATAAGTTTTATATATTTTTCTTCCATTTATATACTTGCCTACTTGAATATTTGAATAAGAAAACCGTTTGTATGACAAGTATGTTGTTATGTCCGTTTTTTTTTCTTCAATCATAGATATTGGTATACTGTTTGACGACACAAAACAAATACATACGACATTAATGAGATCATTCATTGGTTCTACCTCCATACACGAGAGAAACATGACTTATTAGAATAGAAAATTTACTCAAAGGTATATTTTTTCTCTTCCTTGGAAGCCAGAATTCAATATACATACATTTACTTTTTGCATTTTCTAGCGTAATAAAATGAGCCCGAAACTTGTAAAAACGAATGAATCAACTTGTTACATAATCAACGATGGCGCATCTGAAATACAAAATAAACTAGATCATATCTGAGCTGAACTTAGAGTATGAAAAGGGTACGAAGCACTACTCATGTCATTTTTTTTTATGAAAACCGACGGTCCAAACCCAAACCAACGGTGACTGCGGTTGACCGATCGTCCACCGCGGCTAACCAACGGTCAATTGCGATTAACCCACGGTTTTGTTCAGTTACTTTTAGTAATTATAATTTATAAAAATAATTAACCGCAAACGTATTCATAATACTGAAAGTGTAGCAGTTACCACAAAAAGATTAATTAGATATTTTCTTTCGATATACTCACTGCTTTTGTGATTAACAGATATTATATTACGTGCGTAAATAGAGGTTCATGCTATTTTTTCATTAATTGGCTAGGTTATTGATATACCTGTTCATCCTATATGCTATTTTCGTCTACAGATACATGTTATAAGATGAATCCTGCACGCACATCAAGTAGTCCATATTTGATTGAATCTTTTTATTGCACTTAAATTCCGCCCGGCCGAGATGTTAGAAGTATTTTTCAAACTTTTGAGAAAATTGTACATCGATTTAGCTTTTTTCGGTTTGGCACAAGCCATTAATATCTAGTTGTAGTTTGATTTTTCAATCTGTCTTTTTCAGATATGCACCAAAAGATAACAATTCAAATCCTGTGATTGATCGTCATAATTGATACCCAAAGAGTTAAGTTGAATTATTTTTTTATTTAGGTGCGGGCAAACAGCTTATTCAATTGTAAATATTAATGTATAAAAAATAAAACTATGTATATGTTTATAAAATAAATTGCATGCATTGCACTTGAGGGATGGGAGAGAGAGGGGTGAGGGGCAGTGATAAAGAACCGTCAGTTGACTATAGTTTACCATTGATTAACCATGTTGACTGTCGGTTAACCAAACTTAACCGTCGGCTTTTTACCGGTTCGAAGGACATGAGTGGTCTCGAGATTCTCAAAAAGAAAGCTGTACAATGAAAAAAAAAGGAATTATTCTTTTCCCTGTGTATCATAAATCGCTTTTCTTCCTAAAGATATTTACATTTTACAGTAGTCAGCCATTTTTCGTTATCACTGTAAGTCGAAAAAGTTACGATTCGATCAATCAGCTGATCAAAATCAGAATGAATGTGAAAAGTAACCATAATAAAACTCATCACTACGAGAATTCTATCAACACGTATCGACAGGCTTCTAAAGAACTCTGTCGATGGCTGTGTGGATGTGGGATGTACGGATGTGGGTGAGGATCTTCTTCTTGTTCGACGCCTACTCCTATACTCACACCTCACCCTAGTTGATTCAGATTCCAATCGATTAAAAAAATAATAAAATCTATTTTATGATTGCAATCAAATTACAATTGACATAATCTTCAGTAATCAAATTGAAATTCATCAACTCGATTTTTATTGATTGAAATTTCAATCGATAAAAAAAATCAAAAAATCGATTCTGGATTAAAATCTGATTCTAAGTAAAAACAAAATGTAAGTAAAATCGGTTGATTGGATTTTTTCAATAGATTTGAGGACTATAGTCGATTTCAATCGGATTATGGAGGAAAAAGTGTATGATTGAGAGATAAATTGAGATTTATCTACTGATAATCAAATATAATCCTGATTTTCATAGGAATATTTTTCATTGGGATGGGTATGGATGTATCGCTATATGCAGTTTTAATTTGAATGTAGAATGTGGGTGCCCACTTCGGTGCCTGGGTAGTTGCGGATATGGGAATATTCGAATGTTTGCGTGTATGTGCATCAATGTGGATGCTAATTAGAAGAAGACTCACAGGAATACACCCGCAGCTACATCCATCCATTTCCACACCGACACCCACGCCGTTAAACCATGCAGATGTGCGCATCCATACCCATAACCAATTACACCTATACTCTTAAACTATCGACACATATCCACATTCATACCAACACTCACGAACATTGACTCCTTCACTGACACTCTCAAGAAGCATTGGTATTAGCGTTCGACGAAGAATAATATTAGAAGAAAATGGAATCATACACTTAGCGAATAAATGAACCTATTCCTAGTTTGTAATGAACTTTCACAATATTTGCCTAGAAACAGATTCAACATTGAATGAATTGATAAAGTTAAAAAGTCTTCTTCATATAGTTAAAGCAGCAATGCAATCTGAAATACGAAGCAAAAATCCAACAACAACAAAACTAGTTCTTGTAAATATGGTGAACAAATTGAAAAACTTTTTCAGTAATTATATACTAATATTATAAGTAATAATGATGATCCTATTCCAGTTCACTTGATATCATTTGGTGTAACAAAAATCAGCATAATATCATGCAATTCTAGTACAATAATTACTTCAATGTTTAATCAGAAAATCTCTGCTAACAAGTCTCACAATAAATGAAATAACCAGAAATCTCGTTTTCGACAATCATTCGTAATTCGTTTTCAATTATCTTTCAACAAAACACATCGTTATATACATAGAATTAAGCAATAATAATATTTTCTCAATTTAATTCTAACAGGCCATCATCTAGTGTCAATCATAATTATAATTTATAGAGTAATTAGCCACAACTGAGATTACTTTATAAGAATAAAGAAATTAGGTTTCGAAAAATAGTAATCACTTAGTGATTGAGATATTATGAAGTACTTTTAGCATTCTTTTATTGTAGATGTTGTCCATGTGCAAGAAAATCCATACATTTATTTTCTTTTGTTCTCATTTGCGGTATACATGAGGAAAACAAATTTTCTCTCGTATATAGATAGGATTTATAATAACAGAACGACAAAATTGATTCACAATCACTTAATAACTAAGTGAGAGACTGCTATTTTAATCCAATCTTAATAATCGTCAACAGTGTACAAACAATTTTACTTTTACAAATGTATCAATCTATTCATTTCAACACAATCAATCATCTTTTTCGAATTGTGTACTCAATATTATCAAACTTGACATAAAACTCCTGATTATCTATGTCTTTAAGGCTAGAATCATCGAAAACGGTATTGCTTTCGGACAAAATACAAAAATTCGTGAAAATCATCGTTAATTTTTATAACAACCCTTATTGTCAATCAAAGAATGTGAATAATTATCGATACCAACAAAACCACGAATGATTTCGAACGTAAAATAATAAAAAACAGAATCGTTACAAAATCTCACAGAAAATCGTCGATCCCGAGAAGCAATAAAGCGACGCAATAAAAACTGAGATGAAACTGGTACAAACCAGAAACATTTTTATATTGGTCAATCTATCAAGTGTCCGTTACATATGCCAAGTGTTAATTGACCTACTGAAACAAGAACTATCGTATTCAATTCAATAAGCGATTGATCTTTAAAAAGTTGAGTAGACGTATTAAAAGACATTTAGTTTAAAGTATATTTTACTCAATTGTGTGTTTCCTAACTATTGTTTCTTTTTTATGAGGATAGGCATTAGGATCTTTTTACATTGTAAAATTCCTCATGATTTCTTTTGGTTTCTGTTCGCTATTTGAATTTTTCCAGCGTGTGTATGTTTATGTCTGCTGCAGTTCTACGATGTTACGCCATAAACTAGAAAATAAATTGTAGAGAATAGAGAAGCATATTCACAAGAAATAGAAAATCGAATTTTAATTTTCTAATTAGTTGCAAGATTTAGGATCAATCCATAGAGACTTTTCTAGAAAATCAGATGCTACTTGGCAAATTTTTTATATTTCATTTTGTTTCTAATGTTTATTTAACATTCTCTATAGCTTATTTATAATATACAAATTCCATGTTAAGGAGCAAAATCTGTCATCCTCAACATCTTATTTTAATATTAATTTTTGAATCATGGACATTGTCTCACATCGATATATTTCAGGTTTCCCCGAATGAGCTCTCATTTGTAGCGATGCGGCACATCTTTATGATGATGTAAAAATGTATAATAGAGCCATATTTGGACCTCTGAAATACGTTTTTCTTTGCAATAACAACAAGGTTTTCAAATTCTAATTGCATATTCAGAACCAGCATTAAATATTTTGGTTCTTCACAGTTTTCGTTTTTTTCATAGTTTTCAATGTTCAAATAAAAATTCAAACCAAGTCATCCAAGTATGATACGCATCGAAAATTTACAAAATATGTTGAGGTAACATCATCTTAAAAATGAAAAAAAATAACCCTACAGCGAAACTTTTGCTAAACCCTGCTCAAATATTACGCTTTCTACTGATACTATCATGATTTCAAATTTTTTTGTTGAAAGATTTATGTTTCATCTGTCGTCTTGCACGAGTAAGAGAAACTCCAGAGTAGTGAAAAACCGGTTTTTTTCAAATTTTATTGAATCACACGTCACCCAAACCAGAATGTAATGCTGTTTCTGAACACGTAGTGCGTCCGTAACGTGAACTTCAAGTTGAATTTTTTTTTACCCTTTCCACAAAAAAAATTGATTTGTCTTGAAGTTGACATAGCATACTTTTATTTTTCCTTGGCCTTTCCTGATGTTCATCAGAATATGAAAAAATCTCTAATAATGCAAATTTTATCAGTATGCATTGAGAAAACGAACAAGTGCTATACAGTATCTAAAAACAGTCCTAAAAGTTGAACCGAATTCGCAGCTATTTTTGGCTGTGGTACGGATCAAAAAGACTTTCCTCATACTTTATAGAGGGCTGCAATGCTTTTAAAGTGTTTTGGATGTTCGTATTATACCTTAAAAAAAAGAGTTTCGCGCACCGAAATGAATATTTTTTCGTAAGAAATAATGCAGCCGCCCAATGATTCGAAATCTGACTAGTAGAACCTTTGAGTTTTTTCGGATTAAAATTCTTCAGTGGGTATGAGAAACGACGCAACTGAATGCAAAAGATTAATATAGAAATGTTTGCTTACACAAA